AAAAAAAAAAAAAAAAAAAAAAAAAAAACCAATTTTATTTAGAAATATTTATTTTCAGTTCTATTATTTAAAAATATAGTAATTAAAAAACGTAGTATTTTCCTCCTAAGTTTATCATAATTTGTGGGACAATGGCAGTGGCACGACCAATTATTGGACCAGGAAAGTACGACAAAATAGAAAAATAAATAAAAAAAAAAGAAAAAAAAAAGCGGTTAAGACTCTTTGAGGACCAACGAGACGTTGTCATGGCAGCTTACAGCTTTATTTTTTTTTAGCTATTTTCTTTATTGTTTGTGAAAGCTAACCACTCTTATTCCTTTCCTTTTTAGCCTTTTCGTTTAATTTTCACACTCTTTTTATTTTTTCTTCCCCATTGCTTGGAAGTTTCTCACACGACATTGTACCGATAGAAAATTCACTATTTTAATTTATTTTAAATGGAAAACAATAACAATAAAATTACACTTATATCCTCAAAATTGTATACATTAAGAATAAGAAGAAATAAATTGTTTTTTTTTTTTTTACCAAAAAAAAAAAAGAAAAGAAAATACTTTGAAAGGATGACGAGAACTGAAGCTAAGTTTTGATATATATAACAGATATATTTAATTTAAAAGCTGTGAAAATGGTAAATCTAACATTTTTTTTTTGATAGGAGGCTCGTTATTGTGCTGATTGGGCCTAGAATGCAAGCCCAAATGTAGGCCCATTTAAAAGGATGACGAGAACTGAAGCTAAGTTTTGTTTTGATACAATCCTTTTGTCAGGCTTGAGGCCGTAATTAATGGGAAGAAGAAAAATTAAACATTTTCAAAGAGCCAAATATTTATACATTTTTTTTTTCCCATCAAATTTCAAACATTATTAGAAGAACAAGACAATCTAATTTCCCCTTCGTCCCCACTTTTAACTCCAATACTACTGAGTTTCAAGAACGACTGAGCCCAGCTTTCAAAAAACCCAATCTGATCCTCTGCAAAGCTCTCCACCCGGGCCCTGGTCCGGCCGTCGCTAATCAGAACAGAATCCGACTGAAACAGCCCTTTGTGCGACAGAATGTTTCTGTAGTACTGATTGTCGAAGACAGCCGCCGTCGCCGGATCGTTTTCGACGGTGACGGCGGAGGCGGCTCCAGCTGAGCACCGCCGCATAAGCTCGTTGGCATATGAGCCGTCTAGAGAGGCGTCGACGAGGCTCATTCGGCCGTTTGGATCTCTTCTGAAGCGGTCACTGAAGGCGTTGCAGTGAGCCGTTCCGATGGTGTGGGCCCCAGAAAGGACGACAAGATCGTCCACCGACAGCCCTTTTGATGAGAAGAGAGTCATCATTTGGTCGACTGAAAAGCTTGTGTCGACAATGTTTGGTCGGACGTTTGACGCCGCCGATATTTTTCCGTCTCTCCGGCCGGTCGGGACTTGGACGAAGGGCCCGCCGGTCTGTGCATTGGATAAGAAATGAGCGATTGAGAAAGACAAGTGTTTTGGACGTGCTTTTCAAACGAGATTGTTGTTAGTTTGGGCAACCATTTTGTTTTTTATTTTATTATTTTTTAAATTANTTTAAAATTTATTTGTATTGAATTTAATAAAATAATAACAATAATTTTCCAAATGGAGAAAAATAACACAATGGATATATTTTTAAAAATTTATAGAAAAAGATTAATTTATTTGAAAGTAAAAAAAGTTGAAGTTGGGTTGATTTTGTTGGATGGATTAACATTTACTAATCTCTTTTTTGCTCCTTCAGTTATTATAAATAAGTGGGTTAATTTGGGGGTAAAAGTTGTGTTATTTTGAATATGATTAGGTTAAACAGTGTGCGAAATGCAGAGGAAAAAGAAAAAATGAAGTTCATCATCAATCAATGTTTGTAATGTCTCAATATCTATCTAGAGACACATATGTTTGAATGGTCTGGTTCCAGTAATTTCTTCAATGTTTGAACTAAAATCGCCCAATTAAGCATGCATAAGTACGTTTAAAAAAGAAAAAAATTAATTAAGTTTCGATCCCACACCGTCTTTTCTATGGTTCCAAATATAACGATAAATGTAACTATAAAATAATAAAAAAAAAACTTAAAGAACGATAATTGACATGTATTCGCAAAAATGAAAAGAAGTATGGTTTTGGTAGCAATAATATAGAATTTGGTATTAAAAAAAAAAAAAAAAAAAAAAAAACTAAGCCTTTTAAGTAAAAAAAAATCCTTTTCCTTTCAAACTTTCAAATTATTTAAAATTCATGGTTTTCCTAAATATAAAATTAAAGATTTGGAGTCTTTAACAAAAAAAAAAAAAATAATAATTAAGTTTTTATCTAATTAATCAAATAATTTCTAATACAAATTTTAACATTAAAAAACCTGTAATTTTTAAAGTTTAAATATTATATAAATACAAAATTCAAATTTTAGAGATAAATGGACGAAAAACTCACGAATTCAACGGCATCTCTGGCGGCCAAAACGACAATGTCGGCACAGGAGACAGTTTGGGGACAGAAAAATTCAAGATTTCTCTTAGCTGAATCAATAACTTCAAAGCCTCCAAGAGACTTGTTTCCTGGGTCAGTTCTTTCCGTCCCATTTCCTTGCAGCAATACAGAAGCGTCACAGCCCTGGAAATTTTGAGATTTTAAACAGTTCAATAAAAAATTAAAACAAAAGGAAATAGAAAATATGGCCCATGCATGTTTCTAACAATTTCGCGTTATTAGCACTACGCTCTAACCAACTGAGCTGACAGGATCGGCTTCCATAAATTTAAATCAAAATTAAATCGAGACTAAAATGCGGCGTCGGTTTACAAAAGGAAGACCAAACCAGGTTACTGACCTCAACAAAACAGTCATGGAAGAGCAGTCGGAGGAGCTTGCCGGGAATGGTGGGGTCAACGGAGGAAGCCGATCTAACGATATTCCGGACCATAAACTCCGCCGCAGGACACGTGGCAGCGTAAAACCCGAACGACAAGGCCACCGTCGATGCCGGAACAGACAAAACCAGAAGAAGTAAAAACGAGTTGCATATATCGTCGCTACAGGACGCCGTTTTCGCCATGAACAAATCTGTCGTGGTATCTGAGAAGCTAACTGGGAATAAAAGGATTTGGTCTTCGCTAAGCATTATAAAGAAACAGAATAAAAGGGAAAGAGCGAGAGAAATTTAAAGCGGCATTGAAGAAGTTGGGTGGTGGCAGAGTGTTGAAAGTCACACGTCTTTGAAGAGACATGTTTGGCCCTTAATGCACGACATTTACTTCACAGCTATTCCTTCACTTCGCCGCCCATGGGAAATTTATTAAGCCCTATTTATGGCTCTTCTTCCCCATTATGTGCCAGTCAGATTTGAGTGTAAAAAACATTAATAAAAGTTGTGTATTATTTTAATGCATTTTATTGATAAATGGAGAATATCGTTAAAGATATTGCTATAAATAATTAATTATTTAATATTATTTACTCCAATGAATTTTGTTCATCATCGTGATTAAATTTGAATTATTATTATTATTATTATTCAAAAGTGGAATCCAACTTTGACCTATACAATTTATTTATTTATTTTTACAGGTAAAGTTTCAACTTCCATCTTATTTCATGGATTTATTGGCAATGTCCCACAACACAACTCCCTCGGCGTCACGAACTCAGCTTCTTCTTCACGCTCCTTTCGTCTTAATTCCTATTGGCCGTTCAAATTAATCGCGGCGGCTAAAAACAGATTCATAGTGTGCGAGGCTCCACTGTCACGAAGATAAGGTGCCCCCACTGGTAACGTTAAAGATGATAAAAACAAAAAGAAATAGAAAATTTGGCCCATGCAGGTTTCGAACCTGCGACCTTCGCGTTATTAGCACGACGCTCTAACCAACTGAGCTAATAGGCCAGTTGACAAAAATGTTAAATTTTATTAATAAATTCATATATTTCGTAAATCTCTAATTTTTTAGTTTAAAAATGAAAAATTATTTGCGCAGGTTTAGTGGTTAAATTATAATTTTTTTATTCATATTATATGCTTATAAATTAAATACGTTTAATTAAACATTGTGCTGCTACTATTATTATTATTATTATAGTATAAAGAGAACATAATTAATAAGTTAATATAATTAACAGTAATTTACCAAAATAGTATAAAGGTCAAAATTTTAAAAAGTTTTAAATTAATTTATTTTTATTAAGAGTATTAAGAAATTTCTAGCTAATATGAAAATGAATGCCGGAAAAGATGGGGACGGAGAAGTCGTCTATGTCTCAAGCATCGAATCTCTACTTATAGACTTACTTGTTCATGTTTCTCTAATCGTTGCGTACTAAAACAGGAAAGAGGAAAAACCGACATGTCGTTTCTACAAGGGATCATGGCCATTTGTCCCGCGCTTAATTTCTCGATCATCTCTGTTGAAAGATTGAATGTGTGGTTCACAGAACTGCCTCACTCTTCTAACCAAACAAATCTTCACTCCTTCAAATCCCTAAATTCCTCACTTCCTCCTTCGATTCAACCACCACCACCTCCTCCATGGCCTCTCTCCGCCCATTTCTTTCCATTTCCCCTTTCTCCCGCGCACCTAAGCGCACGCACTTCGCGAATGTCCTTAACGCTCCATCGCCTTCCGCTTCCTCTTTGCCGTTCAAATTAGTCGCCGCCAGAAAGAGATTCGTGGTTCGCGGCGACGCCGTTGTAGACGCCGGAACTGCAGCTTCAATCGGCGATCTGAAGGACGATGATAATCAGGCGGTCATTTTGGGTCCGACGACCGATGAGGAGCTTAGCGGTGGATCTACGGTGGAGTACGACTGGACTGAAGAGTGGTACCCGCTGTACCTTACGCGAGATGTGCCGGAGGATGCTCCTTTAGGGCTCACTGTGTTCGATAAGCAGTTGGTTCTGTACCGCGATGGATCCGGCGAGCTCCGATGTCACGAAGACAGGTGCCCCCATAGGTATGGAAAAAAAGATAGCACATGACCTTCGCGTTATTAGCACAACGCTCTAACCAACTCATTAGGACCAGAATTCGTCCTATTAACGTTTAATCTATTTCTATTTTGAGCTTGTTCTTCCTGTTAATTATGCGTTTGTTGTTCTTGTTTCTGGAGAAACAATTAATCAAGGGATAATAAGCATTCATATTATAACTTAAAATGGATCTGCTTAACTTACTTTTGTCTCATTTTAGGCTAGCAAAGCTCTCTGAAGGCCAATTAATCGATGGCAAACTGGAATGTCTTTACCATGGCTGGCAATTTGAAGGCGAGGGGAAATGTGTGAAGATTCCTCAGGTAATATTGAATGAATTTGATCTCTTTCTAAGTGCCTTTAAAAAGTCCTTAGAAACGAGTTGAATATAAATTGAATTGCATTAATCCATTCAACTTAGGCTAGAACTGTGTTATACAGCTTCCTTCAGATGCCAAGATTCCTAGATCAGCATGTCTAAGAACATACGAGGTAAGGGACTCACAGGGAGTTGTATGGGTGTGGATGTCTTTGGAAAAGCCTCCAACCCTCAAAAAGATACCATGGTTCGACAACTTCGAGCGGCCCGGGTTCCGAGACAATTCGACCATTCACGAGCTTCCTTATGATCACTCCATACTTCTTGAGAACCTTATGGATCCTGCACATGTACCTATCTCCCATGATAGAACAGATTTTAGTGCCAGAAGGGAAGATGCTCAGCCATTAGGATTCGAAGTTACCGAGCGTACGAACCGTGGTTTCGCTGGTCGATGGGGCCGTTCTAAAGAACAAGCATTGTCAAACTTCTTAAGGTTTGAAGCTCCTTGTGTCCTTCAGAATAACAAGGAAATTCCCAATGAAAAAGGTGCTGTGGATTACTTTACGGGACTTTTCCTCTGTAGGCCTACAGGCCAGGGGAAGTCCATGCTTATAGTGAGATTTGGTAGCACAAGATCTTCCTTTCTGTGGAAATTTCTGCCTTCATGGTTTCTCCACCAAAATGCCTGCAAGGTTTTTGAGCAAGATATGGGATTTCTTTCATCCCAAAATGAGGTTCTAATTAGAGAAAAAGTGCCCACCAAAGAGCTCTACCTCAACTTACGATCTTCCGATACTTGGGTTCTCGAGTATCGACGCTGGATGGACAAGGTCGGGCACGGGATGCCGTATTACTTCGGACATGCTACAATTTCGTTGCCTAAACTGCCTGCTGTTGTTGAACACGCCCCGGTAGGACTAGTTGCTGGAGCTTCAGCATCTGCTCCGGCTAAGGGGGGGATCGGCACGATGCATTCTCCGAACTTGTCGAACCGATACTTTCGACATATCATTCATTGCAGGAGTTGTAGCAATGTCATCAAATCTTTTCAAACTTGGAACAAGGCTCTTTCTGCCATTGCCGTCACTTTGGTTGCGTTAGCCATTTTGGTGAGTGGAAGGCAATGGAAGGCGCTCATTCTGTTGTCTGCAGCATTGTGCTATGGTGGAGCTTATGCATGCTCGGCTATTGTGGCACTAAATACCACTAATTTTATAAGAACTCACAGAAGGTTGTAACTTATTGTTTACAGATTTCAAAATAGTATTTGATATTACATACATAGGGAGATTAAGTACTGAACAGAGTGATTAAACCTCATGGTTTTCATTTTCTTAGGTGCGGTTTTGTTGAAGATTAAATATCTATGTTTAGTGTTTGTGAGATCCTATATCAGTTAAAGAGAAGAACGAGAAACATTCTAAGGGTGTGTAAATTTTTCTGTAGCATGAGTTTTAAAAACTCGAAAAGAAAAAATCAAAGAAGACAATCTCTACTAGCGATGAGCTTGAACAGTTACAAATGGTATCATAGCTGTGAATGTTTGATTAATCCACCACACCTAAATGGTGTGAAAGTTATCTTATTTATAATCAAATGAANATGGGTCAATGAGGATTTTATGCATATTTTGAAAGTTTTGTGTCCTCTTCCATGAAAGAGAGATGGGATTAAAAAAAACCTTAAAATTAACCACTTATTTTTAAACTAAAAACATTAGAATAACATTTTTTTTTAAAAAAATTCGCTTTACAAAATTTTTTCGGTTTATAGAGATTCAAGAGACTTTAAATTGGATAAAGATGTGCAATATCGGTGTGATTTGTTTTACATGCACGTCTTTTAGAACCCTTTTAAAGTACCTCGAATATTTTTTTTTTACTAATAGAAGATTTGTCGTGCTAAAAAAATCACAATTGTAACAACTCATGTCCACCACTAGCAGATATTGTCTGCTTTGGTCCATTACGTATCGTCGTCAGTCTCATGGTTTTAGAGAGGGTCTAGCCTTATTCCGACTAGTGCGTCGCACTGCCCGGTGACTGACTCTGATACTATTCGTAACGGCCAAAGTCCACCACTAGTAGATATTATCTAGTCCACCACTAGTAAATGTTATCGGTAATGAATAAACTAATGCAAAATCTTTTAAAACACTAATGAATTATCTCATCTGTATGCAAAATAAAATTTCAAACCCAAGAACTCATAACCAAAACAGATCGAAAACAGTGTGAATGTTTGATTAATCCACCACACCTAAATGGTGTGAAAGTTATCTTATTTATAATCAAATAAATTACAAGGATATGAAAATAATAATAAATGGAAATAACAATAAATGGAAAGATACCTATGATAATAAGGCAAATATTAGATATTTGCCTTATAATAAAATATCAAATATAATATATATGATAAACTATAATTTATTACTAAATATTCTTAACACCCCACCGCAAGCTAAGCGTCGGATTTAAACGAACGTGAAGCTTGAATCTGAAAAATTCAAAGAGGTTGAGAAACACTTTTCATGAAGATGCTAACAACCCGGTTATTGGCCATACAAAATTGCAGAGGGATCGCCGCTCAGCGGCGATGCTGCCTTGGCTTCGGCAAGATATGTCTAACCCATGAAGAGGGATTGTCGCTTAGCGACGATGCTGCCTTGGCTCTGGTGAGAATATTTCTAACCCCAAGAAGTAGAAGGGGAAACCTAGAGCAAGGGACAAAGACAATGTTGAAGCCGGAAGAGTCGCCACATCGAGCGAAGGAGCCAATTTTGGCGAGAAGGGCAGTCGGAAGAGTCGCCTCATCGGGCGAAGAAGCCAATTTTGGCAGGAAGGGCGGCGACAACTTGGTTGGCGAATAGGCCAGTGCGGCACCCAGATTCCGAAGGTAACTCTCTGCAAAAGGTTGATAGGTTTAGGTTAGGGTTTATGTGAAGGATGAAGGTTGATTGGGAAGAAAATGAGAGAGACTATATTGGCCAAGGGGAAAACCGATTGGGTTGGAAAAGGTGAAGTTGTATGTACAGAGTATGACAAAAGGTGATTTGGAGGTCAATAGGGTGGAGCCGAAGAGTAATCAATCGGCTCCGACTACGGCAGCCATGAAGACTGCCCCTGCGGCGTCAAAACCAGCAGGGGTGGTGGAGAAGAAGATTAGAGGATTCAAAAGCCATTGAAAAGAAAGGATCGGGGTTGTTAAACCGAGAGGGCTCTGATACCATGTGAATGTTTGATTAATCCACCACACCTAAATGGTGTGAATGGAAAGATACCTATGATAATAAAGCAAATATTAGATATTTGCCTTATAATAAAATATCAAATATAATATATATGGTAAACTATAATTTATTACTAAATATCCTTAACAATAGCCAAATACCGGGCGATGTGCTAGTGACAAGGTTGAGCCTCAAAGGGAGTAAACACAAGGCGGTGTGCCAGCAACGACGCTGTCTCCAAAGGGGTGGATTGGGGGGTCCCACATCAATTGAATAAGGGAACGAGTAGCAGCGAGGATGCTAGGTCCGAAGGGGATGAATTGTGAGAACCCACTTCAGTGGTCAGCGAGAATTAATTATTGGGGACAGGCAGATTGGGAGTAGAACAAACAAATCACTCTTTACAAAAGTGGGTAAATCTCTTCCTACAAAAATAGATTTTAAAAATTTCTTCAATTATTTCTAAGCAATAGGGTTGGGCAGTTAGCATTGAAAATATTATCAGAATTTTATATAAATAAATAATATGGGATGAATTTAACTCATTAAAATAATTTTGATTAATTTAACTTTTATTCATTAATATATATATTATAAACAATATTCCGTTTTTTTAATTTACTCAACACCGATCTTATTTAATAATCATTTAGATTTTTGTAAATGGTATTTATTTTCTCAAAGACGTCAGTGTCCTATTTTATGCTTTGTAAGGTAACATAAAAATTTTAAAAAATAAAATTTTTAATAATTAGATTTTTTAGTTTCTAGAACTCTGGAGATGATCATTTAATTTTTTAAATTGTTCCTATTCTCTCAAAATATCAACATAACACGTGGCGGAGAATAGATGTATCCAACACACCACCCAGTCTTTCATTTAAATAAGGCAAATACAGAGTTCATTGGCGCGGAAGGAGCTTCAAATTTAGAGAGCGCGAAAACCCTAGCAGAGAGAGGATGGCGCTCGATCGTCTTCATCAACATCATCAAGCAGCCGATGGATTGACGAACTTATTCACGAAGGCCAATCACGATCTCTCGGTTGTTCAATACAGGCTCGAGAAGGAGTTTCAGCAAATCTATCCTGACAGCGTAAGAGCAACACGATCTTCTTCTTCTCGTTTATTGAATGGAGGCAGTTATTAATTTAAGAAGGAATTTCTAAGGCTCGAAATGAATGTAGAATTGCTTATGTCTCTCTTCGCTGTTGGTAATTCATAGTTCTAGTACTAGATCTTTGAGCTTAATGTAGAATTATTCCATTCTACAGCAAAAAAGCATCATAGACTCTTTCTATTTTCTTAATCGATGCACTGTTTAGTTTGAGCGCGAAGTTCAAGATCTGGAGCTCGATTTTGAACTATTTGGTTCTCTCTTTGTGTTATTCACTGTACTAATACAAGATCACGAGCTTAGTGTAGGATTGTTTCATTCTTCAGCGTAAGAGCATCATAGACTTTCTATTTTCTTAATCGAGGCACTGTTTAGTTTGAGCATGAAGTTCAAGATCTGGAGCTTAATTTTGAACTATTTTGTTCTCTTTGCTGCTATTCACTGTACTAGTACAAGGTCACAAGCTTAATGTAGAATTATATCATTCTTCAGCGTAAGAGCATCATAGACTCTCTATTTTCTTAGTCGAGGTACTGTTTAGTTTTATGACGAAGTTCAAGATCTGGAGCTCAATGTCGAACTATTTTGTTTTCTCTTTGCTGTTATTCGCTGTATTAATACAAGATCTCGAGCTTGATGTAGAATTGTTCAATTCTACATTGTAGGAGCAAGTAGTCAATCCTGACAGAGTAAGAGCAACATACGTTTGAATTGAACTATTTTGTTTTCTCTGCTTCTAGACTTCTGAGCGGAGGCACTATTTTAATTGAGGAGGACATAGAAGATGTTGAGCATAATGAAGAGTTATTTCATTATCTTTTGCTATTAGCATTTGATAAGTAGTATCACAAGATCTTGAGCTTAACGACGAATTATTTCATTCTACAATGTTAGAGCAAATAAATCCTGATAGAGTCTGGGCAACATAGTTATTTTCAAGGGTCGAGTCACTAGTTTTCATTTCAGTATTTGGTTTGAGGAGGAAGTACTCAATCTTGAGCTTAATGAGGAGTTCTTTCATTTTTCAATTAGAACCGCAGTACTATTACAAGATTTTGAGCTTAACGTAGAATTGTTTTCTCCTCTCTTGCGCGTCAGTTTATTTCATAGTGCTAGCCAAAAATTTGTTGTAATTCTTGATTTTAAAGGTTCGCCGTTTAATATTGTTCAGAGAATGGACTATTGAACTTTCAGATTGAAGTTTTCGGAGAATTTTGTCATCCACAATTTTTCTTCATTTTCGAACTTCTGACTATATTGAGCTTTTTGATCTTTGATAAAACGTGTGATTAAAAATATCCGTTGGTTTCTCTACAATGCATGCAACCATGTGACAGTGATATTGGATTCAAACACTCTTAATGACAGCGATTGTCAAGTCTTTGTTTGACGGTTGAGATTGCCTCTTAAAACATGTAGTGGGGACGGGGCTATCTCGTTATACAAAGTATTCGTCGTCTTGGCACAAAGTTAACCACAGATTTATTTGGAATTCGATCTCAGATTATCCTTCATATTCTTTCTGGAAAACATGAATACGAATCTGTTGTTGCTCAACTGGTGGTTTTCATTCAAGGTTTTGTACATTATTTGCAGGCGAATCCAATGAAGTTAGCTTTAAGGATAAAGAAGATACGGGATGATATATCAACCTTGAAAGAGCAGTGTCGCAAAGTTTTGATGGCCAAACAGGTATCTTTCTGCCTTTACTTTTTCCAGATAGGTATTGACTTGAGGAAACACACGCATTTAACCTGCAAGACTTCATGCTCTGTACTTGCTAAGTTTTTTTTTTTTTTTTCAAGAATTAGTTCTGCAACTCCAAAAATTCACTTATATGTCCAAAAATAAATAAATACTCCATTTCACTTAGATTCCATGCAATGAAATGATATATTATGCTTAAAATAATGAAAATATGAAGTTTGAGCTTAGGAAATGTGATGTCTGATGATAGTAGGATGAATGTATTTGGTGTGTAGAAATGTGACTTTGATTTTGATTTATATATAATTTAAAATATAATGGTATTTTT